GCCAGAGTAGTGGCGATATGTGATTGCATTGATAGCGAGAGAGGAAGTCAGCTTGGGTGAATAAGAAGGGTGGGTAGGGAGAGGGGGAGGGTGGAGGCCAGTAGGGAGGAGGGTGCTAGATAGAGGGTGGTAGGGAGCGAGGGGGAGGTGGCGGCCAGTAGGGAGGAGGGTGGGCTAGATAGAGGGTGGGTAGGGAGGAGGCGGGAGGGTGGAGGCCAGTAAGGGAGGAGGTGGCTAGATAGAGGTGGGTAGGGAGGAGGGGAGGGTGGAGGCCAGTAGGGAGGAGGGTGGGCTAGATAGAGGGTGGTAGGGACGGAGGGGAGGGTGGAGGCCAGGAAGGGGGGGGTCGAACGCTAGATAGATGGTGAATAGGGAGGAAGGGGGAGGGTGAGGGCGCCGCAATGAATGTTCCTCTATAGCCTAGTGCCAGCCCTGCTGGCAAGAGTAGCGGCGATAGTGTGATTGCAATTGATAGCGAGAGAGGAAGTCAAGCTGGGTTGATAAGAGGGTGGGTAGGGAGGAGGGAGGGGAGGGTGGAGGCCAGGAAGGGCGGGGGGACGCTAGATTAAGAGGGTGAATAGGGGGAGGGGAGGGGAGGCCAGGAAGGGGGGGGACGGCTAGATAGAGGTGAAATAGGGAGAGCAGAGGGGGAGGTCGGGCAGGAAGGGGGCGGCTAAGATAGAGGTGAATAGGGAGGAGCAGAGGGAGGTTCAGGAAAGGGGAGGAGCGGCTAGATAGATGGTGAATAGGGAGGAGGGGCGGGCAGAAGGGGAGGTCCAGGAAGGGGGAGGACGGCTAGATAGAGGGTGAGTAGGGAGGAGGGGGAGGTGGAGGGCCACGTAGGGAGGAGGGTGTGCTTAGATAGAGGGTGGGTAGGGAGGAGGGAGGGTGGAGGGCCAGTAGGGAGGAGGGTGGCTAGATAGAGGTGGGTAGGGAGGAGGGGAGGGTGGAGGCCAAGGAAGGGGGGGGACGGCTAGATAGAGGTGAATAGGGAGGAGGGTGGTTGATATAGAACTGCTAGGGAGGAGGTGGTGCGATGAGGGCCAGTAAGAGGAAGGGTGGGTGACGGACGCTAGTAGGGATCTCTACTAGGGCATCAGAGGGAAGAGGGAGTGGAGTGTGGAGGAATTGAATATGGAAGATCCAGTGGTGGGCAATGGAAATTGACTACGTAGGGACAGGATGGGCCGAAGGAGGTTGGCAGTGAATAGGATTCNTGATATAGAACTGCTAGGGAGGAGGGTGGTCGATGGAGGGCCAGTAAGAGGAAGGGTGGGTGACGGACGGCTAGTAGGGATCTCTACTAGGGATCAGAGGGGAAGAGGGAGTGAGTGTGGAGGAATTGAATGATGGAAGATCATGGTGGGCAATGGAAACTCCCACCCACAATCCTACTCTCCCACCCACAATCCTACTCTCCCACCCACAATCCTACTCTCCCATCCACAATCCTACTCTCCCACCCACAATCCTACTCTCCCATCCACAATCCTACTCTCCCACCCACAATCCTACTCTCCCACCCACAATCCTACTCTCCCACCCACAATCCTACTCTCCCACCCACAATCCTACTCTCTCACCCACAATCCTACTCTCCCACCTAGAATCCTATTCACTGCACCTGCCTTCGGCCCATCCTTCCCTACGTAGTCAAAGTAGGATTGTGGGTGGGAGAGTAGGATTGTGAATGGGAGAGTAGGATTGTGGGTGGGAGAGCAGTAGTAATGGCAGAGTGCTGCTGCTGATGTAAACAATTTAACAACGAGGTCGGCGTTTTACAATAATATACACTTTATTTATTTTCGTCACCACATGTATGCGAATCGTTCTGCACACACAGCTATACATATACAATAGTCACACAGGTCCAATTAAATATATATATATATATATATATATATATATATATATATATAT